TGCTTCCATGGTGTGCAAAGTATATGTATCCTCACTAATTGGCTATGGTGGCTCTTTAGTTGCTGATGTTATAAAACAGAAGTAATTATTAGGAATGTCGTATGCACACACCATAGACTACAGTATACTTATAGTAATGCAATCTTTAAATATAACTCTGCTCGTCGCCCAAGATGCTAAGTTCTGTGTTTCATGGGGCAGACATATCTCCTTGGATTTCAGGAATACTCAGGGAAATATCAGGGAAAATTCAATGAGTTTTGTTTTCATGGATTTCTGAGAACCCTGTATGGTTATACTTGAAGAACTGTGCAAAAAGCCATATTCAGAGTTTTTAATGAGGTTATGCAAACATTGTAAACATTTAATATTTTTTACAGTTGGAGCTCACTACTTTACATCTTTACATAACCATCAGTCTTTCATTACATAATTATTTACTTGGAATTTTTGGTTTATTTGCGAACACAAATAGCAGCAGCAGTTTTAGAGCACTCTTTGTGCAGCCTGGGACAAATGTGAAATTGACGACAATGTAAAGGTTCATAAAACAGTATTCATTTGAGCCTATTTAATTTTTTTTTTTTTTTTTTTGAGGGGTGGTGTTTAAAATTGTTATAAGAAAGTAGCAATCCATTTGGCTATCCATCAAAATAGTCCTTAGGTCAAAATCATGAACTAGCAGCTAACACGCTTCATGTAACTAGTTATATTATTATAAAAATTTAAGCAATCTTTTTTCTTGTTTTTAGTATTTTACCTTGTTTTATATGGCACACTGATTTTATTATTTTTTATTACACTATTGTTTTTAATTGCTTTCATTGTTGTATGTTGTTGTTTTTGCGCTCTATATGTTGTCTTCTTAAAACAGGTCTCTCTTGAAAACGAGTCCTTGTGACTCAGTGAGACTACCTGTAGAAATGAAGGTTAAATTAAAAATATGCTTTTTTTGTTTGTTCGTTTGTTTGCTTGTAATTTGTTGGGGTTTTTTAACCAAGAACTTTGGAATGTGTTGCTTGAATACAGCCCAAAACTAGTCTTTGTTAATTCTTGTTTTATCAAGTCACACCTCCTTAAATTTGAATTCAAAACAGACGATTGCTACCGGAGCAGATGATAGTGACGTGGATTGCAGACAGCTCTCAAGTATATATATATATATA